GGGAAGAATACAGAGAAGAGGGAAAGTGAGTTCTCTCAAGATATCGATTTTAGAGTCTGAAGGTAGACCACATCCTAAAGAACTCCCTTTTCAACAGATTAGTTGATTACAAGACATTAGATTACATTATGGACCAGCAACTACTCTAGTATTTGACCAAAACACTTGGCTATAGCCTAGCCAAGCTGACACCATAAATTAACCATCACAATTGTCTATACTCTCTCTTTCTCTTTCCATATTTTATACCCCAACCCCAACCCCCCAACTGAGACTGCTCTTGTCAAAGTCACCAATGAGTTCACATTGCTCAACTCAATGGTGACTTCTCAACCTCCATCTTACCAGACCCCACCACAGCATCTGGGACAGCTGGTGACTCTCCTCTCTGAAACACTTCCTTTACTTGACCTCAAGAACAGTACATTCTCCTGGTTTTCCCCCTCCCTGACTGTCACTTATTAGTCTCCTCTGCTGGTTCCTCCTCCTCTTCTCAACCTCTAAATGTTGGAGAGTCCAGGACTCAGTCTTTGGATTCTTTCTTTCCCATTGTTATGGATTGGATTGTGTCCTCAAAAAGTATGTTGTAAATCCATTCCTCAAAAGGAAGATTGGTCAATCTACTTCCGTAGAGATACCACCTTAGAAACCCAAAGAGGGGTCGCTATGAGTCAGAGATGACTCGACAGCAGTGAGTTTGGTTTTGGTTTTTATTCTCATTTGAGAAGCCCTGGTGGCACAGTGGGTAAGCGCTCAGCTGTGAAGCAAAAGGTTGGTGGTTTAAACCCACTAGCCACTCTGCAAGATAAAAATGTGGCAGTCTGCTCCTATAAAGATTACAGCCTTGGAAACTCTATGGGGTAATTCTACTCTGTCCCCTTATAGGGTGGATACTAGTGGAAATCAACTCAATAGCAATGGGTCATTCCCTTTCTGGAATGGGTTTTCTTTGTATGTCTTAAATCAATTTCTTTTGAGATATGAAAAAGCAGTTCAGGGAAACAAGCACAAATTTAGGGGAAGATATATGCCACATGATCACCAACAGAAGAGACAAGAACCCTCCCTCAGAGCCAGTGCCCTGAATTAGGACTTCTGGCCTCCTAAACTGTGAAAAAATAAGTTTTTATTTGTGAAAGCCACCCACTTATGGAAGTTCTGTTTTAGCACCACTAGATAACTAAGATGGGAGCTCTGGTGGTGTAGTGCCTAAGGCACTTGACTGGTAACCAGAAGGCTGGCGGTTCAACCACCAGCCACTTCTCCAAAGGAAGATTGGGCAATCTACTTCCGTAGTGATACCACCTTGGAAACCCAAGGAGGGGTTGCTATGAGTTGAATCGACTGGAGGGCAGTGAGGTTGTTTTTTTTTGTTTTGTTTTGTTTTTTGTTTTTTGTTTTTTGGTAGATAACTAAGACACCGATCTACACTTCTCCATGGTGACTTAACCCATCTCATGGCTATAAATTCTATTGGTATTTCTATTGGTGTCCACATTTCTAACTCCAGTCTGGACCTCTCCTCTGAACTCCAGACTTGTATATCTCACTGTCTACTCAACATCTACTTCTGAACTTCTTATATGGACTCCAAATGTCTTTATCATCAGTCAGACTGAGTTGGAGGTTCTGTCTTCTCATACTTTCTGCAGAAGTCAGACTAATTCATGCCCATGTATAATTTCATTTAATCCTCACACCAACTGTGAGAGTTAGATATATTCTCTCCATTTTCCAGATAGGAAAAGTGAACTCTAGAGAAATTTAGTTATATACCAGAGGTCACATAGCTAGTAAGTTGCAGACCCCAGATTCTCAGACTCTCTGACTCATGCCAAAGCCACAAGCTCTTGGCTGCAGCACTTCACCCAGACTAGCTCTCCCCAGAAATGACACAGCCTGAGCTGGTCACAAGGATGGAGGAGTTGGGGGTCAGCAGAAGATCTCTGCAAAAGAAAGACTTATTCCATTGAAACCCTCAGGTATCAGATACCAAAGTAGTCATTGCATTAACTGCTTTGTTTCACCTTGTTCCTACATTGTCTTTTTGTTGCTGTTCTTGTTATTTTCTGTATCTTATTGTCTGTCTCTCCCCTTAGACTGCTCCCCATTCTGTGTATCCCCATACCTAGCACAGTGCTTGGTACATTTTACAAACAAAACCAAACTCACTGCTGTCGAGTCAGATCCGACTCATAGGGACCCCTCCTTGGGTTTCCGAGGCGGTGTCACTACAGAAGTAGATTGCCCAACCTTCCTTCTGAGGAGTCACTGGTGGGTTTGAACCATCAGCCTTCTGGTTAGCAGTCAAATGCCTGAGGCACTATACTACCAGAGCTCCCAGTACATTTTAGGAGTTAAAAAAAAAAATGCTGTCAAGTGGATTCTGACTCATAATGACACTACAGGACAAAATTCTGTTTAATGCCTCAGTGCTATAATACAGATCCAAGGTATTACACTCCACTTTTCAATAGTAAGGGAAGCAAACATTAAATAATTACACAAATAGGGAGGAAAAACACTGTTGTGTGCCGAGTCGATTCCAACTCATAGTGACTGTATATGACACAGTAGAATTGCCCCATGGGGTTTACTAGGGTTTCTTTACAAGAGCAGATTGCCAGGTTTTTTTCTCCTGTGGAGCCACTGGGTAGGTGTGAACCACCAACCTCCTGGTTAACAGCCAAGTGCTTCAACCACTGCACCATGCAAAAAAAAAAAAAAAAAATCCCTGTCAAGTGTATTCTGACTCATAGTGACCCTATAGGACAAAGTAAAATGCTCCATAGGGTTTCCTGGACTGTAATATTTATGGAAGCAGACTGCCACATCTTTCTCCCACAGAGTGGCTAGTGGGTTAGAAGCACCAGGGCTCCTTATAAAGCAGTGGTGTTGTTGTAGGCGGTTAAGTCACTCTGTATTCCTAGAGACCCTGTAGGGCAGAGAACTGCCCCATAGGGTTTTCTAGGCTGTGATCTTTACAGAAGCAGATTGTTAAGTCTTTTCTCCTATGGAGCTGCTGGTGTGTTCAAACCACTAACCTTTCAGTTAGCAGCTGAGCTCTTAACCACTATGCCACCAGGGTTTCTTCAGAAGAAAAGGAGTCCCTAATATAGATGGGAGAGTGTCATTGAGGGTCTCAGGATCTGAAGGCTGAAGAATAGTCCTGGGAGAGGAAATAGCCCATGCAAAGGTCCCAGGAAGGTAATAGCTTGCTGCCTTTGAGAGACTGAAGGATGGTGGGTGAGCCTGCAGGGCAGTTCAAAGGGGCTTCTTAGGTTCTGCCTGCAGTAGGGGTGACATCCTCTCTGTTTACAGTTTAACAGCCTTCTGCCAAGGATGGGGGCATAGGCCAGGCTGACCTTTGCTCACTGTCGGAGCCCAGCTCCATCCTTGGTGTCTCTGTGTTCAGAAATCCTGAGCCTGGCCACAGTTTCCCAAGAACTGTTCACTACAAGTTGGTCTGCCTGGGGGCTATGGGGATGGACAGGTAATGTGCTCCAGAACGGGGCCAATAGGGACTAAGGGAGGATCCTAGCAAGGAGGGCTTTGCAGAAGATGCAATTTGGCTGGCCATGGCTGTGGGCTTCACCTGAGAGAGCTGGGACAAGGCCGGTGCTGCATGGCGGGATAACAGAACTGCCCACTGGGGGCCTTTTCCCTCTTCTCTGCACTCTCACCCCCACTCCCCAAGCAGCCCAGGCCCAGCAGAGGAAGCCAGGGTGCAGGGCTGGCCCAGAGCTGGCCACGGCTGGAAGAAGAAGTTAAGAAGGCCGTTGGGCTGATGGCTGTAGAGACAGAATTGTGTTTATCCAGGAAAAGAGGTCGGACGTAGGCAGCAGAGGCCCCTGCCAGCTCCTCCCAGAAGGACTGGGCTGGAGGAGCGAGCTAAAGAGGAAGCTGCTCCCCTCTCCGGGTTCGGAACGCTCCGGGCCAGAAGCCAGGACCTAGCAGCGGCCCACAGGTGAGGCCTGCACTCCGGGCGCCGGACAAAGCCCGCCGTGGGTTCGGAGTCCCGGGCAGTCGGTTGCGATGTCAGGGTCCTAGGAGTGCAGGCGGGAGTGCGGTGAGCGCGCGGCTGCGACGCCTTTCCGAGCCCGCTCTGCGGATGGCGGAGAATCAATGCTTCCTTTGTGCTCGGCGGTTTCCAGGAGAGAAAAGGAGTGGAGAGTGGGAGGGGCAGCCCAACGGCCCGGGCCCGCCCTTGAAAACTTGGGATGCAGTGGAGCTGGGGGACAGAGAGTGGACCGGTCTGGGCTAGGAGGAAGGGATTCCGTGCCCCCAGAGGTCTGTCTCCTAGTACCAGCTCCTGGTGCCCTCAGGTCAGCAGCCGTTGTGCAGCGAGTCGGCTTCTGGCCAAGAGCGGCGAGGGACGGCGAGGGAGGAGCCAGTGGAGGCAGGTGGAGCTGGGGCCCAAGGGTGGCTCAGTTCGGAGACGCGCGTGCCGGGGCAGGGAAGGGAGTCCCGAAGGGCTCTAGATCAAATCTTGGAGGAGAGCCCAAGTCGTTGGAATGGGGGAAATGGGGTTGAGGCTGCCTAGAGCCTCGATGTCACTTAATGGGTCGCGTGTATATAAACCTCGGTCGGGGTCTGGGTCCGTGTTTGTAACTACAAACCCTTTGGTAATGCAGATGTTAGTGGGTGTGTTGTGCCCTCTAACTCGGAGGTGGGTGGGGACATCGTTAGTACCAATGTGAAGGTCTGTGTACCCAGTGTCCGAGGCCTGCATCTCAAGATGTAACTGTCTGGCTCTAGACTCCCTCTATTTCGTACTGCCCCAAAAACTTGGCCACCCTTTGTCTTTCCTGCTCAAATGGAGGCTCATGTGCCCCTGCCCCGGGAGGGCGAAGGCACGGCGGTGCACAGCGGGTCTGTATGTATGCACTCACAACATCATCCACCTCGGCCTTTTCTCTCTTCTGCTCAGCCCTCCAACCTGCGATTTTGACCCTCGCGCCTTCGTGGAATTCGGACTGTCATTACTCCCACCCCGCTGCATGTGGCTCTTGGAGAAAGTTGGCTACAAGGTGGGGACCGCGGAGCCCGGGGCCCGGTGGGCGCCCTCCAACCTGTTTCCTAAGCGTCGCGCACCGGGCCCGCCCGCCCGCGCCTGCCCCAACATTATCACCCCGGATCGCATCCCACAGTTCTTCATCCCTCCTCGGCTCCCGGACCCAGGCGGCGCTGAGTCCCTGGCCGGGCGCGACGCGGGCGGGCAAGGCTTCCCTGCCGTCTGCTCGCTGCCGCACCTGGCGGGCCGCGAAGGCTGGGCCTTCCTGCTCGAGAGCCCGCACACGCGCAGGCGCGAGTCCTTGTTCCACTCGCCGTGGTCCACCCCCGCTGGGGGGCTCCCCTCGGCACAGTCCCGGCTGCACGTCTCCGCCCCGGACCTGCGCCTCTGCCGGGCCCCCGACAGCGACACAGCCTCGTCGCCTGACTCATCGCCCTTTGGCTCCCCGCAGCCGGACCCTGGCCGGCGCAGGTTGCCCAGGCCACACTCACTGTCCCCGGAGGAGGCGAGCTCGGCCGACACGAGCCCGTACGCGCCGCGCCGCGCGGGGCCGCCCACGCCGCCGCTCTTCCATCTTGACTTCCTGTGCTGCCAACTGCGGCCGACCAAGGAGAGCGTGCTGCGCCTCGGGCCCCGCGGCGGGCAGCTGCGTCTCTCCGCCGAGTACCAGGCCGGGCCCAGGCGGCTACGGCTGCGCTTGGTGAGCGCCGAGGGTCTGCCCCGGCCGCGGCCGTGCCCGGGGAGCGGCGGGGGCGGCTGCTGCGTGGTGCTCACGCTGCGGCCGCGCGTGCGGCCGAGGGGCCAGCGGAGCCGCGTGGTCAAGTGCAGTGCCAACCCTATCTTCAACGAGGACTTCTTCTTCGACGGTCTCGGTCTGCCAGACCTAGCCAACCGTAGCCTGAAGGCCAAGGTGCTGGACAGGGGCGCTGGGCTCCGTAGGGATGTCCTGCTAGGGGAGTGCGAGACGCCTCTTATTGCCCTGCTGCCTCCCTTGAGTGGAGGCCTAGGTCCAGGGACCTCCCTGGCACCTTCCCACCTCAGCCTCTAGACTGAGGGACTGTCTTCCTGAGGAAGACTCTACTGGGTATGCACTCCATCATCCTTCCATTTGCCTCGCATATATTTATTTTTTGCTAATAAAATGTCTGTTTCTCTAGCTTGAATCTCTCCCTCTTTGGCACCCTACACGCTCAGATCTGTAACTTGCCCTCTTCCCACTGCCCTGGCAGAAGATGGGATAAAGGAAGCACGGTCGGATTGTCTCAGTTGGAGTGCTTCCCAAACTGAAATGAGCATCAAAATGACCAGGCATCCGAAATTGTGGGCTCTGTGTGAGCTTGTTACATGTACAGAATGCTGAGGTCCATCAGAAAGAAATGCTGGTTCAGTGAATCTGGGCTGGGTAGGTCCTCAGGTCACTTCCCAACAAGGCCCCAGCCCTTCAGGGAGCTCTTCAGTCACTGAGTCACTCCTGAAAAACTCTGACTGAAATCAATGCAAACTGTCTTCCTCTGGGGGCTCCTGGGGCTTCACAGAAGACATTAGCACAAAGCCACTCATCACTCCCCCACTGCCCACACTCACACCCACATCTATCCGGCACAGGTCAGGGGGGATATCACACTAATGCACAGCACCCTCTACACTCTAGGCTTCCTTCCTCTTGCTTGTCCCCTCCAAACCTGTGCCACCTTGGGGCAAACCTAGGGACTAGCCACAGCAAGAGGAGTGCCTACTGAGATGTGATGTCACAGGAATGAGATCTAGGGATAGGAGGGATCTGGCCAAGTATAAGAGCTGATCTCAGGGATGCCAGTGAGTGGGTGGAGGGGACGGAAGATGGATGAATGTAGGTCAGACTGTGTTTACCTCCTACCTGAATGTCCCTGACGTCAGCAGTGACCTTCTTCTTCCTCCCTCCACCTTCCCTGGAGCAGGTTCCTCTTGGCTCAAGTCAGGCTTGGAGAAGAGAAGGAGGGGAGCAGGCACTGGGCCAGCCCAGCTTCTTTCTCCCTCCCCCTTGGGTCCTTTCTCATTTCACATGGTGCCTCCTGGATTCTAATGAAACCTCAGCACCTGCAATACAACACAACACACACACACACACACACACACACACACTCCTCCAGCTAGCTCTATCCTCAGTTCCTTCTTCCTCTCCTGGATTAGGTCCCCACCCAGACCTTAACCAGGGAAAGCTTGCTCCCGATGTCCACCAGGTGGCAGCATTGATCAAACAATAATAAGTACTAATTGCTACAATAATAAGTACTAATTGGGAGCTCTGGTAGCATAGTGGCTAAAGCACTTGACTGCTAACCAGAAGGTTGCGGTTCAAACCCACCAGCCACTCCTCAGAAGGAATATGGGGCAATCTACTTCCGTAGCGATACTGCCTTGGAAACCCAAGGAGGGGTCGCTATGAGTCGGGTCCGACTCAACGGCACATAGCAACAACAACAATTGCTACACATAGCTTATTCCCGCACAGCCACTAAGAAACTGTTCCAACAACTTGTCAAAGACATTTATTCCTCCTAGCAACTCCCATGAGATTGTAAGTACTATTGCAATATGACCTGGGGCACACAATTATTAAGGGGTAGAACTAGGATTTGAACCCAGAGAGCTTAATCATCTCACTATAATATCCTTAAGAGTCCCTGGGTTTTACAAAAGATTAATATGTTTGACTGCTAACCAAGAAGCTGATGGTTTGAGTCCACCCGATGCACCTCAGAAGAAAGGCCTGACAATCTACTTCTGAAAAATCTGCCATTAAAAACCCTGGTTTTTTAATACCTTCGACAACTCAGCTATTGCCTCCCAACCAGGTTACCCTAAGTTAATAGTTCTCCAGTCTTTTCACACTCTGCCAGTTAGAATTCATGTGTGTGAATCTTGGAAAGCCTACCCATGGGTCTAGGTCTATCCCTGGTATTGTCCTTTAGCCCCCAAATCTTCCCATAACAACTTCTGGATGCCCTATTGAAAATGGCTGGAAGGAAACTTAGAATTCTGTCATTGAACTTAGATTTACGCATTCCTTCAACAAATATTTAGTGAGGGTCTATAAGGAGCTCTGGTGGTGTAGTGGTTAAGGCATTTGGGCTGCTCACCAAAATGTTGATAATTTGAACCCACCAGCTGCTCTGCAGAAGAAAGATGGAGCAGTCTGCTTCCCTAAAGATTTACAGCCTGAAAAACCCAGTGGGGGTCACAATGAGCAGAAATCAACTTGGTGGCAGTGAGTTTTGAGTTGTAAGGTACCAGGGAGTCCCTGGGTGATGCAAATGTTTAAGCGTTCGGTTAAGCACTGGGGTACTAACTGAAAGACCAGCGGTTGGATCCACACAGGTGCTTCAGAAGAAAGGCCTGGCTGTCTACTTCCAAAAGATCCCAGCCACTGACAACCTCATGGTGCATAGTTCTCCTCTGACATACATGGTGCAGCCATGAGTTGGACGTGAGGGTCACTGGTTGAGTGTTTTGTTTTGTTTCTTATGAGGTACCGCACATTGACTAGAGCAATAATCGATATGAACATGGAGATCAGTTGAGTTCTAAAAATAAATAAGCAAAATGTAACGAATATTACGTTATGACACGTTTGGGGAAAAAATAAAACAGGAAAGATCAAGAGAAAGGAAGAGTACAGGAAAAGAAAGAAGGAGGGAGGAAGGGAAACTTTTTTATTTTAAGCCACAGTACTTTGCACTAGGTTCTATGCTTTACCCGTGTTATCTCGGTTAATCATCACAACCACTCAGAAAAGTGGGTATTATTCCCATTGTAGAGAGGAAGAAATTGATCAGCCACAGGGCCAACCTGGGATCAGCCCCGGCTGCTGGGGAAGTTTCCGACTGTGACTCCACCCGACTCCCAGACCACTCACTATCCCCTATCCCACACCAGCCCAGGAGTGGATGTGAAGTGGGAATTCAAGTCCACTGCACTCTCGGAAGGAAGGTTGGGCAATCCTACTTCCGTAGTGATACTGCCTCGGAAACCCAAGGAGGGGTCGCTATGAGTCAGGGCTGACTCGATGGCACATAACAACAACAACAACA